AAAAAAGAAAAGAAAAGAAAAAAAAAAAAAACGAAGAAAGAAAGAAACGGCCATGTGCCTGACTGAACTGCTAGAAAAAGCCAGCCCGAGTTTCAAACTGCTATAACGCAGTTTCAAATGCAATTGAAACTCGGGCCCTGACCAAACTCCTAAAACGCAGTTTCAAATGCAATTACAAACTATAACCCTGACTGCGCCGTAGTTTTCTCTATTTTAGTTCTCTTTAGTCTTTTCCTTGCTAATTATTCCTTTGTATATAGTGTAAAGAGTAGGCTAGGTGATAAAAGCTACATCACCAACAGAGTGGCAAAAGTATAGAAAAGGCCTTTCCAGCCTCCTCAATCTCATTACCTTTAAATTCTTCAGGGTCAAATGTGCTCGGGAAACGGTTAGAGCATAGCAACAGACGTTGCACAGCTCATCTCACGTAATGGTAGTGAGGGTAATGGAACAAAAAAATAAGAAAGACAAGCTCAACATCAACAGGGAGGATCGTCTGGGGTTTCTAGACCGTCTACTATCTTCCTCTCTTCTAGTCTTAGCAATAGCATAACGTAAGGTACCATAGGAAATTTCAGAAAAAATCCTAAATACTCGTAGCCAGAAAATGATAGCGTCTAGGAGCTAGAGAAGAACCTTACGCCATTCCATTATGTTAATACAGCAAACTCAAAAAGGCAGGTAGCTAACAAAGCACGAGGTAGGACACATTGGGAGTGTTGATTACATGAAAGAAAATACAACGAAGTGTAGACAAGCATGTGGCAAGCATAAGGCGAAACCGACGGGAAGCATTAACACAACAGGTGGGGAGGAAGAAGATGATGATGATGGGTGAGGAGGAAGAGGTGCATTTTGGGATGGATTGGAAGCGACGTAGGGGTTGGGCAGGGAAGATGTATAGTTAGGGAGGGAAACAAGTAAGAAACAAGAAGTTCAACCACTGGCAGTAGTCATAAAAAATCTTGAAGCCTGAGCGATAGAATTAAATGTCATCGTTGAGCACAAGAACCATCCATCGTGGTAGCCAGGCGTAAGACCTGGATCGCATGGAGGGAGGTTAGTTGACAACAGCTCGACATGTTTCGAATGACGCCCATAGACCACTCATCATCAGGGGAATCGCTAAGGGCCAAGATGCGAGGTAGGGGTTAGGCAGGGAAAAAGTATAGTGAGGGAAGGAAACGAGTAAGAAACAAGAAGTTCAACCACTGGCAGTAGTCGTAAAAATTCTTGAAGCCTGAGCGATAGAATTAAATGTCATCGTTGATCACAAGAACCATCCATCATGGTAGCCAGGCGTAAGACCTGGATCGCATGGAGGGAGGTTAGTCGGCAACAGCCCGACATGTTTCGAATGGCGCCGATAGACCACTCATCATCAAGCTGAGCGATAGAGTTAAATGTCATCGTTGAGCACAAGAACCATCCGTAGCCAGGCGTAAGACCTGGATCGCATGGAGGGAGGTTTGTCGGCAACAGCCCGACATGTTTCGAATGGCGCCGATAGACCACTCATCATCAGGGGCATCGCTAAGGGCCAAGTTAGACATTCCTCGGGCACGTAAAATCTACGAGGACGTGATCGTTCCACCTATCCTCGGGGAAGAAATTTGGAAAAAAATATGAAAACATTTCCTCGAGGAATCCTTGTACCATACTTGTGGCCCAGCCATTTGTTGCCCTAGTAGTGCAAGGGACCTCACGAGGTCCCTTGGAGGTCGAGGATCCGCGATATTAGGAGCGGTGAAGGCACGCGTCGCCAACAGTTTTATTTTTTCAGCTGCTCTATTGGTGATCCGGCAGCGGGTGCACGGACATCTTCGGCCACCGACTTTGGGCCTACGCCCAACGGGTCGCAAACGGCTGCCGTTGGAGAACGACCATCGTTGGGGCTCCTTTTCAGTTGGGCCTCGTGTCGGCATGCATCATTGGGGTTTCCCGCCAGCGTCGGCGGGGTCCAAAGGTCGGGAAAATTGAATATTTTGCCCAACCAGACTCCCACATCCCCACCCATGTCGGCAACGCAAAATTGAATGTCCACCGTCGTCGCCGAGATGCCGCCCTGTCGTTCGTGTCTTCTATGACCGACCTCTATCGCAGGCTTCCTGTGTTGCTCCTAGCCGTGCTTCTGCTTATCTTCGTCCTCCTGTTCCATGTGTGCATCAGCTGTCGAGCTCAGTCCTAATAGCGTGAACACGGTGCGGCTTGCTCCTGAGGTGTTCGGTAGCCGATCTGCCAGACCCATCGTCCGCCACGTATCCTATCCCCGCCATCTCTCAGCTTCTTCCCCTCCTTCTCAGGTTGGTTTGATCTCGGAGTCTGGGTGGGACAGTGACGAGCCTCATTCCCTTTCCTCTCCTCACACGTCTTCTCCCTCCCCTTCGCCATGAGTTTTTCCACGGAGCAGGTACTCAGTGAACGCGTGTTGGCGCCACGTGGGAATATTTCGGTGATCCGGCAGGTGCATCATCCGCGCATCAGCCTGGACGCTCTCCGATTCGTGCAGTTTTTCAACACGACAGGAGTACATGCGGCAGCAGAGTTCCGATTCGCGGTCCCAACAGCAGGTCACATATGTTGGTCGAAGCGTCGGCTTACCGACAGCTCTCGACGCCAGGGACCGCTCACATCTCGACAGTTGTCTTCTTCAGCGGAGATCTCACTCCGCTCGGTTCCAGGACGCATACGACTATACTTAACTCGTTGCGAGAGTGGGGAGCAGAATTGTCAAGGGTGTGGAGTCAGATGCTTGCGCAGGGGGGGGAGAACATCGGCAATACTGGCAGTATTGACACACACGGCATTCGCCTCCTTCGGCACGCACCGGCGGTACCCATCCCCGAGCTCGTCCCTTTCCCGCGCCCCCAATGAACCGCCCCAGATTTTCTACTTTCAGCCTCCCCTCTACATTCCCTCTTTTCTGACAATCTGCGCTCCATCCCCGCCTCTCTTTCTGTGTACACCCGCTTATGCTCCCTCTCATCCGACTAGAGCAGTGGCTAAGGTGGTGGCAAACTTATGCAACTCTTTCTATGTGCTTAGTCGATATCGATCTGACGTGGACCGAGGACAACGAGCATCGAGAGGTGAGTGAGAACGTCGATCCGCTCATCATTCAAGCTTGGAGGACCTACACAGAGGGGAATCTTCTGGGTTTTGTCTTCGGAGCGGTAGAGCCGGGTCATCGACGGCCGATCGTGAACGAGTTGTTGATCCTCCTGACTGAGCTGCTGGATGATCTGCCGCTCGATATCATCTCGCACTGCGACCTGAATCCAGTTCCGCACATCCTCTCGCGCAGCTTGGTACCGTATCTGCAATGGTCAGCCTGCTTGGAGGGCAATTTGGACAACGACGATTACCCGTCACACAATGATTATCTGAATCCCCAGACCATCGCTCACGAACTCTTCAACCCGGGAGAGGCGAAAGAGGGAGAGGAAGAAGAAGAAGAAGAAGAGGAAGAGCAGGGGGTAAGCGAGGAGGAAGAAGCGAATCAGGCGAAGGCCCAAGAGGAGGATCTTGAGGCCGAGCGGCAAAGAGCGAAGATTGCGGAGGGAAAGCGACCATTAGAGCAGTCGGTGGGAGCAGATCTGCCTATTCCGGACCATCCGACTAGAGATCCCGAGCCGCCGGTTAAAGAAGATGAGCACCCTCATGAAGAGACTTCTGGCGCGGTGACGCGAAGACAACGAAGTCATTCCCCGTCCCCTTCCCCCCGTCCCTCAGTTCGAGCTCGTGGCAATGCGGAGCATCGGACGACGTCCCTGTTCCCTATCCCGCCGTCCCCTTGATTACCTCACACTCTCCCACATTGACACTCGACGCGCATTCCCCACCAATCCTTTTTCGCCTTTGATCTTTTATCAATTCTACGCAACCCGCCTCATTGCCACACTATACTTGCACCCCTCCACCCAGTGTGCTTCCTCTTCCTTCTATCTTCACGCTCTTCTTTTCAGCGCCACGTGGCGAGGCCAGGAAGCCATCAAAGTCTACTGTGTGATCACGGGAACCATCCCCATGTGCGCAGATCATGAGCAATTCCGCGCGGCCATGTTTCGCACCTTTTCAACCCTCTACGCCGATTATCTTGCTTCTCTCCCTGAAGGTGGAAATTGCTTCCCCCACATTCATCGCATCATCAAGCACCAGGAGCTCCCCCAGACGTTAATGGGGATGACGAATTTCTTACCGCCTCTCCCTAATGATCCTCCCCCACCCATCCCCGCTATCTTCCGACTCCCCTACCCTTAAAGATGAGGGCAGCTTGAACGACGTCACGGTGTCGACTGGATGACATCCACACTCATATCCTACGATAACGACAGGTGTGATCTAGGCGAAGTTGCATTTTCTTCTTCTTTCTTATCTTTCTCGAAAGGGATATGGTTGCAAGCAGGAGCTTGCACAAGATGGAACCCCCTAGGCGTCACATATGTGACGAGCTACTTTCTGTAAGGCGACATCTTCTGCGCAACGAGGATCGGGGGTACACAGGGATCGGGGACAAATTGCATGGCGGTCCCTCCTTCTTGATTTTTAGATGTTTTCTCCTTGGGCCTTCGAGGGAAAGAAGGCGGCGGTTATGGACCATGGGATAGTAGGCCCGCGCCTTTGTGAGCGCGGGGGAACAACATCGGCTATGGAGTCAGGACCTTTTCTTTTCGTTTCTTTCTTTTTCAAATAAGACATCCGTTTTTTTGGCGTGACAATCGCGCGGGGAATTCTTTTCGGAATTTTGAATTTAGAACGAGCCCATGCGGGCTCTCGGAATTTCTTTCTGCAATTAGGACTTTAATTAGACTAGGAAACTGGGTGCGTCGTAATTTTTGCCGGTAATTGCACATTGCCTCTTGTTTGCGCGCCCTTTGCTGCACAGGGACCTACGCTCTATTCCCGCCGCGCCTAAATTTTAATCTCAACTGTAATCTCTTCTTGCTCCTTCTCCGCTACGCAGGTGTAACTGTAATCTTCCCCGTTCTTGAAACTCCCTTCCCTCGTTGTTGTGTAAGCACTCTGCTTTCCATCTCATTGGCGGGATCGATGAATGGCTGGATCGAAGCATAGAGTAAGGCTACATCCCCCACGCCGTGGCCTGGTCATACACTCGTAGGCACTTCCTTTCTCCCTTCTCTCCTGTTCCTCTGGCAATCCCGACTATGGTGCGCCGATGAGCAAGCTACAAATTCTACGAGCACGATAAATTGTCTCTCTAATCTACTTGGGAGTTAGCGCAGTCGAGCGGATCGGCTAACGAGCTTTAAGACGGTGAGTAGAGAGTCGGGCGATCCGACGAGTTGGCGCTGAGTGCGTGGGGTTGACACATGGCCGCAAAGGACTGTGGCACGTGGCAAACCTGGCTTGCACGCTCAGGCCAAGCGGGGTGACGACTCTGTGGGGAATTGAGGGTGCGGAGCGACGGACTGCTCATATCGAGAGAGAGAGAGAGAGAGAGAGAGAGAGAGAGAGAGAGAGAGAGAGAGAGAGAGAGAGAGAGACGGGGATATGGTGGAACATTGTCTTTTCCTTCCTCCTTCCTATATGAATTTTGGTTCTAATGTTGGCCAATTTTGCTGCGACGTTTTTGGATCTCTTGTGTGAATCCTCTCAGACTTTTTGTTGTGTATGTGTATGTGTATGCATGTATGAATGATGATGAATGATCTCGCCTCCCTTCTCGCGCATTGTCTTTGCCCTGCAATTTTATTTTGTTCTGTAGCTTAGCTTAATTGAAATTTCGTCACTTTCTGGCATCTGTCGTTGCAACGCAGGAGTTAGTCCTTGAGCCTGAGTTCCCCCGCATCTGGCCAGGTGTGCCCTTTGAACGCAATTAGCCCCATCACTTGCTTTTGATCTATGTAGGCATGTCTGGGAATTGTTTGGATATGTATGTCTGTGTTCTGCGCGTCTAATAATCTTTTCCTGTGATGATTGAATGTATGGCTGAGAGGGGATCGATCCGGGAATGAAGTTGATTGCGTACGAGATTGACTGCATGAGTAAACCAAGTTGCACGCTCCAATCGAACCTTTTGTACTCCATTGCGCAGCTTAGGATCCGATCGGTTGGCCCCTGCACACCCGCATGCCAGACAGCGGCCCGTCAGAGGACTTGCAATCTGCATACGCGCGCGTAGAAGCCGGCTACGATCCCGCCCCGTAGAGACATGTGTACGACCAGATTTCAAACATGGCGATAGGAACTCCTTTTTGGGTTACCGATCGGGAAAATATGAGAAACCCGGAGTATCGAGCCTATTGGGAAAGGGAACAGATCCGACGACAGCAAGTTAGACAACAATGGGACCGCCGACAGCAAAACCTGCAAAATTCTGAGTACCCGTGTCGGACGGAAACCGAGCGACTGTGTAGTTGGCAATTAATCGAGACACGAGCATTCCCGACTATCCCGACAACCGAAACAAGCAATACTTTGTAACCCTGGGATTCGTCGCCATTACCACTGACTCTCCTCCCCATTACACCGTCCTCCCGTATTACCGACTGCTGGTTGTTCCCTGGGACTCCATAGCCCACGCCTGGCCCCGACCACCATGCCCGGAGTGCCAGCAATCCAACGAGTACGAACATACGTGGAACGCGCACTAGGCCCACCCCCACGCAGAGCGGCAAGAGCTCAGTTCGTCGGACTTCGTCCTCATCAGACTCAGACTCTGAGGCCTGCGTCGACCGACAGCGGCACAGGCATTCCTACAGCGCCACCCGCCACACCCCCTTCGTACACCGGACTCGTCTCCGGGCCTAGACTCGGGAAAGACACTCACCCCTTCTCTGAGCCAAAAGGGATACTTGCACTTTTACTCTGAAACTTGACAAAGGAGATTCCAGTTCCGACCTGGGATTCCAACCCCACTTTCCTAAAATCCTTGGCACACCCCTTTTCGCACTTCCAGGCCCACTAACACTCCGAAACAGGAAGTCGCGCTGGGCGTGAGGTTGGGCGTCACAGTGCGGCCTATCCTTGCTCTCTTTCTTCTTTTCTTCTGTCTTCCCTCCTTCTTTCCTTTTCCCTTTCTTTCTTTTTTTTTGTTTTGTTTTTTTTACTGAGGTAAGGCATGGCCATATACGACGTGAAAGCTGATTACGCAGAAGACTTCCTTTCTAAGTAATCTGAATGCAAAGCTGATCTACTTGACTTGCTACTCGTGAGGAAGAGTATTTTTCCTTACGTACTTTACTATGGCTCTGACTAAGGGCTGGACCCCACCCAAAATTGTGGAAAACGGGCACCACGAGTGGTTTTCCCGGACCCCATTGGAAGAAATCGGGTCCCTGGAAATTGTTTTTTTTGTTGCGTTTTCCAATTCCTGGGACCCCACAGTGTGGAAAGTATTCCTGGAAGATAGCACTTCGACGTTTCCACATGCAGTTTCAGTCGAAAATATGTCAATTTCCGCAGTTCACGGCACATTTTTGTGCCATTTGGACTGGGTAGGGGGAGGGCTGGAAAAGTCTGGAAAACTTCGTTGGCCGACCCGGGTCCACGGAGTGTCCGGTACGCTACGCCCTACGTACCACCGGCCAGGAGGCGCACAAGGAGAGTGTTGCACGGGCCGGAAGGATGGAATGTGAAGGGCACCATTTTCCCCGTATTCGTTGTCCCGTTGAATGTTTTCGGTTTTTATTTTTGTTTTTGTTTTTGCATGGCGGGATGGCGGGCTCAGCATTCAAATTCGAAAATCCGAAGGGATGTTCATGGCCGGCTGTGCAGCTGTGCAGCCTACGTTCCTTTGAGCCGGCAGACTGGTCATTACACACCATTGTCGTGCTGCACACACACACACACACACACACACACACACACACACACACACACACACACACACACACACACACACACACACACACACACACACAC